AAAAAGATCTTTAATCAAATATATGAAAAGTTAATTTTCACTATATTTAATTATTTCAAGCGGAATCAATATCATTAATAATTTCTTCAGTACTCACTGCGATTCCTTTGATAAATATCAACGCTGTATTAATATATGAATAATTATAAAAAAAAAAAAAACTTTGTAGGTTTATATAAAGGCGTTATTTTATACCTTTTTTTTTAAATTAATCTAAATTTTAAGACTGTTTTGCACTTATAGTCTAAAACTTAGATAAAATACGCATGTTGTCGCATGGCGTTACGACCGTAATTTTACGTAAAAGGAAATAGTTGCAAAATAGTTTCATTATGCCGTAATTTTCTTGCATACTTGCATAAAAATAGTTTTTGCAGCAGAATCAACTATATGTATAATATAACACAATGATTATAAATATTGATGATGATGATGTTGGTATTCTATACATGTTCGTTAATATTATTTTTTATGAGTGGGAGATTTTTAGTATACGTTGATTATAAGTTACACAAAGTTTTACTGTTGTCTTGCAAACCTTGAAAGCGTAGCGGTGTTATTACTGTCGACCTGTCAAGGTCACGTGAATCGCTCTTATTATCTTTTACCGCAGTAATACACGATGAAAAGCTAAAGACATTCAAAAGTAAGTTATATTTCACTATGAAAAGCACATTAATTTTCAGAGAAAATACTTAAAAAAGAGTCCAATATTTTTTTATCGTCGCAATCCGTTAGTCTGTGGTCACAAATAGTATAAGATTCAAATATCTGGAGTATAACATGACAAAATTACTTAATATCTTTTCACTATCTTCACAATCATGCAGAGATTTTACGTGGTAGAGCCATGCTGTAGCTATGGACCGGGGAAGACCACGCTCTCACAGAATACCAGCCTAAAATAGCAGCTTAAGACTGCTGAGTTTCGTATGGTGAGTGTAGAGAATCGGAGACCCTTTTTAGTCGAAAAGAGGCATTCCATCTTAGTCCTCACGAGTGACAACGCATCTGCAATTTGATTCTTTATTAAGGATAGATGTGGATATCTATAGGTTACAGCAACTACTTACCGTCAGGTGGACTGTGTGCTCGTTTGTCACCCTATCCTATAAAAAAAGAGTTAGTTTCTAACAATCAGTTCTGTACCCGTTCTTGTTTTCTTTATAATAAAATATAACTGCCAAAAACACATGTTAACAAACAATAATACTGCAACTACATTTGCGTTGACTGTTATTGCTGTAATTCTAAAAACAAACGAGGCTGAATTAATTATTTTGTACATATAATATAAATATTTCTTCTTTTATTACATACTGATATGATTTCTGACGAAACGGAATCTTTCGAATATATAAATGTTCAAGTAACAAATGAGTATTCGAGATTGTTGATTTTCTAAACATATTTCTATATTTAATTTATGTTTATTGAAAATCACCATTTGCCTGACATTTACAAATATAGTATTAAAGTACATTTTATAATTGGCATACATTAGAATAACAAAAATGACACATTTAACTAATATAGAATTTAAATAGAATTTTTACTTGGTTTACATAGTCGCAGCCCACCGACAATAGCTCAACCTAAACTAGCAGCCTAGTACCGGAGTGTAGGTGTAAGTCGGCCCCTCATTAGAAGTTGTAGTGTCGAACTTGTAATATATGTAGGAAGTTGATGGATGCAGGACCGTGTTTGTAGCATTTCTTACGCGAGGCCTATGTTCAGAATTGGACTTGTGGAAGGCTGTAATGGTGATGATGATTACATTACAAAAGAATTATCTAAACATGAAATATAAAAATGTGAAGGAAAAAATTAATAAAAACTTGATGATACTACGGTACTGTACACAATATGTCAAAAGTTTGTCATAAAAAATTAATGAAAACGTAATATACCATAAAAAGAAATGTGTTCATGAATGAATGAAAAGAATTATTACATTCATAGTGGTAGAGCCACGCGGCAGCTTTTGCTGTCGCACGGATGGGCCGGCTCGAACCGGGGTGGTACCACGACCTCACAGAATACCAGCGTGAAGTAGAGGTTTACTTCTGCGTTTCGCCTGGTGAGTGCAGGTGGCCAGAGGCCCTTTTTACTGGAAATGAGGCATTCCATCTTGGTCCTCACGGGTGACAACGCATCTACCTTTTGATTTGTAATGGAGGATAGATTTAGATGTCTATGGGCCGCAGCAACCACTTACCATCAGGTGGACTGTGTGCTCGTTTGTCAACCTTATCCTATAAAAAAATGAAAAGTTTTACGTATACCTAATTAATACGTAAAACTTTTCGTTTCGGAAGCTGAAGCCCAAGATTTATATGACGTTAAGTGTTGAATATCTTAGTGATTGAATTACATGGATATTGATAGGTGATTGTCAGATATATTTGTTATGTGATACCAATACCATCAACTTTATTGTTAATTAATACCATAAAAAGTGTTAAGTCATGTTGAATATGACGATGTTTGAGACCTAACTCAAAAAGCGTCTATCGGTCACGGGTAACTTGCGTAGTGCGAGTCTGCAAAACATTAAAATTTTCATACTTTTGACTTTTTAAGCAGTATTACTAATTCAGGTGAATCTTTAACTTTAAATATCACCAGTTTCATCCCCGCCTACACCTTATGTTGTAAAGTTATCACAAGATAGTAAAGGAAAATATAGTGAGGAAACCGACATGTGTAAGAAATAATTTTCCAAGTATGAAAATAATATGAAAATATAGTATCCTACGAAAGTAGGAGAGAATGTTGCATTTGTCCATAGTTTTAGTAGATCTGCATGTATATTTCCTAAAAGGTGCATATGTTTTAATTTTTATATTATTTTTCAGGCACAAATGTGGTAATTTTGAGTAGTGAATAATAATAGCATAACAGTACACGTAATCAACTAATGAAATATTATACAATAGTTTAGTAATATAGTACGGTTAGACAAACCTTGTCTGCACATACACGCGGAAAATTGTTGTCTTTATTTTAATAGAAGTTAGTGCCTTTGAACAGGGTGATCACTATAGAACATTTTTGAGGCTATCAACTACATATGACCCTGACTTATTAACCAACAGTTTTTGTTTTAACTCTAATGTTGTCTCTGGTCGAGTTATAATTCCTGCACCCGTCGTGCTTTGTTATTCTGATCACTAAGGAACATCACTATCATCTCCTTAATATCGATTTAGTAAGTCATAATTTCTGTGCGTTTCCTTGCAAATTTCAATGTCTGCTTATATTTCGAAGAACTGCCTTTTATTGTTTTCTCTGATATTTATCTTATGTCGGTGATGCAATCAGGACACTAACACATTTTTTCTTTGTCATCTTATTGCACATTAAAAATGAATAGAATTCTCTACCAGCGTTAGTTCCAAGTCCGCTATTACATGGGAATATACAGGTAAAGATTAAATACACTTTCTGTACTAACGTGTTTATCATCTAGGTTATTGTCACCACGTAATATCAGTTGGAACCCGGATCATATATTAGCCGAAACATTAATAAAAAAAAACTTATTAATACAAATAATCTTGTCCTCTAAAGGCAAGCTTAATGATAAATAAAAAATATTTAATATTTGGTTGTGGAAAGTAACATACTCGTATCGTAGACAATTTACCATTGTTGACTATGCCAGTTAAGAGTGACAAACTGTCTATGATATTGGTTATATCAGGTTATATGCTGAAATCCATTATGGTCATTTTGAATAATACCATTAAACTTTTTCAAATATTAAAGATGTGAAAGTAAATTTATATTTGAATACATGGTTAAAAATTGTGTCTAATTGCTAAATTTTTTACGAGTTTGGTACTTAGTAAACATAATTATAACTGTTTAGACTAATTTGAAAATAAAATAAAATTATCAGTATACGTTTAAAAGTTGAAATAAACAATTGAATTGAACAAGATTCCTTAAAATGGAGGTTAATGCATAAATAATTAGAAAAAAACTGACTACTACAAGATCACATCTTGATCGATTCCTTATTGAGGTTATGGAGCCCCTAGTTTTTTATTTAGTTAACATTAAGTATAATTATAAATGCATAGCACACGCGTGGTGAATGTTTAATATAAGCGATGGTTAACAATGAGAGACTCTACTTTTTCTACACCGAAATGTCAAGGACGTTTGCTCATTTGCTTCTACACAGAAATTATGTGTGACAAATAACGTAAGATTCGGGTATATCCTTTACGGTTGATCATATGTACTGTATGAAAAAATTTAAACTATTTATACGTGGTAGAGTCACTCAGCAACTATATTATGGTTGTAGCACGAATTAGTCGGCTCGACTGGTTAAGACCACACTATCATAGAATATTAGCTTAATCTAGCAGCTTAATTCTGTTGTGTTTCATATGGTAAGTATTAGGGAACCATTGACTATTTTACGGGTAACGACGCGTCTGCATTTTGATTCTCAACCGAGGATAGTTGTAAATATTTATGAGGGATAGCATACACTTCCTATCATGTGGACTGTATGCTCGTTTGTCACCCTTATTTTATAAAATGTGAAAAACTGTTCTGATGATAAATACACACATATATTCTGTTTATTATGTGACTGGCACATTCAATTTTATATTGTATATTTATTATGCATATATTACGCCAGCTACTCAATACGGGCTCTTCGTACTCTCCCGTATGTGCAGGATAAAATAATCGGAAACCACTGAAGTAATAGATTAAAACATGTTGATGTTTGGAAAGGAAATTTTACTTTCTTACTTCTAAAAATAGAGACTAATTTCATGGAAGTGTCAATGTTATTAAAATAAAGCATTAACTTTAACCTTTGACCTGTTAAGGAACAACAACTTTAACGAACAAATTATTTTAATATAAATATATTTTATATTAATCAAAATTATATTTGTCACGTAAATGATATTAATAAGTACACAATTAATAAAAATAAATAATTTCAAAACAGGAACAAATCAACGATCATGCGGAACAGACTCGGCGTAGTGAAATGGCGGATCCGCAGTTTGAGCGAGCGAAAGCTAACCACATCCGCACGCTGCTTTAAAGCAATCGACAATGGAAGCGAAATAGGTACATACTTTTTTTAATAAAATTGTCCCCGCATCGTCATAAAATTAATCCCGTACGGAACAATTATTTGTAATTATTTGTACAAATAATTGTTCTGGGTCTGGATGTTTGTCCTCGTGCAATTTATGTTTGTAAACTGCCTCCACGATAAAGGAGAAAATCCTAGTGTGGAGGTAACGTTTTCTGAAAAGTACAAAAAAAATTGAAGTGACAAACGAACTAACAGCCTAGATGATGGTAAGCGGCTGCTGCAGACCGTGGACTCCTGAAACCAACTTCAACCAAAAAAGGCTACAGATGCATTGTCACCTCTGAGGACTAAGATGGAATGGAACACAGCAGTACACTCTGTACTGTATGGCAGCAGAAGTAGGTAAGCCTCATGTCAAGGAGTCAAACCGTGGCGCAGTGGCTTGAAATAAGTTGCAGCGTTTAGGGCCGTGGGTTCGAATTACGCACAAAAAAGTATTTGTATGACCTACAAAAAACTTCCGGGTCTGTATGTTTGTCCTATGTATGTAAACTGCCCCCATGATATACAAGAAAAATATATTTTTTTAAAACCAAGGAAAAAAAACAAAGGAATCACACCAGCTAGTATTGTGTTTTTTTGTTTAAAAACTAAAACTATCTCAATCTTTTTTGTTTAAAAACTATTAAAGATATTTTTACTATGTACCTATGTGAACTAAATTCACTATTAATGTGAATTATCGTATATATCATATTTTATGCGCCCATATTCAGCAGGCGACTTTTATAGGCTGTAATGGATGGGTGGAAGTATGCGAATTTTAAGTACAGTAGACTAATGGCAGGGTGCAGAACGCTAACTGAAAAGGTCGTGGGTTCAAATCCGCCCTTGGACTACTACCGTGAACTACTCGTAACACAAAACATTTTAAGCTTACTTGGACTGGTTAAGTGGAATATTACTAATGTTAATAGCATTTCTAGTTTTTTACCTTTAAAAATGGGGATTTTATTTTTGAGGTTAATTTACTTTTTGCAATGAACGAAATGTAAGTGGTGAAAAATTTGAAAAGCCTTGTGTGAAAATTTTTGAGATCAAAAATTCGTCACAATACGGGGTATCTCAAGCAGTTAGGCTTCTAAGGTGAAGTCGTTAGTCTGTTTTTAAAGTTACCATTCGAAAATTTGCATGGCCGGTTGTGTTGGGGAACGTTCATCAGAACAGTAACATGGTTTTAATAGTACAGTAACAAACAGTAAAGAGTAATTTTACCAATATTATAGAGAAAAAATTCTTAGGGTTTCTTGTAATATTAAGGTTTTAGTTCCTTTCGAATAAATCATAGTATTCAAATATTATGTATAACATATTATTGTATTTTAATATTGTTTAAAAATAAATAATAAGGACAAGGAAAGTAAATGATAATTACCGTTTTCTATTGACATACACACAAACACTGTCACCCAGAGGGCTAGCTGAATCATTTGACATGATTCTGACACACTATTCTCTATTTGGTTTCTCTTTTGATCGGTAAATTTTTGTCACGGTCGTCCCTTGCCGAGTTCCAGGCGCCTCTTAATCTAATTATTATTGTTTATATAATAAATCTATTTAAAATATTCGTATTTTATGTTTGAGTAAGACAAAAAAATTTAGAAAAATTTCAGCTATATTAGTAGTATAATTGTAGCAAGAATGGGTCGGCTCGACCGGGGAAGGACCACGCTCTCATAGAATATCAGCGTAAAATAGCAGCTGACGCTGCTGTGTTTCGTATGGTGAGTGTAGATAATCGTAGACGCTTTTTACTCGAAATGAGGCATTTGATCTTAGTCCTTACGGGTGACAACGCATCTGCATTTTGTTTGATGTATGTAGATGTTTATGGGCTCCAGCAACCACTTACCATCAGGTGGACTGTGTGCTCGTTTGTCACCCTTATCCTATAAAAAATTTTTAAGAAGGAAATATGTAGAAGTAGTTTTAATTTAAATGAAAGTGATTACGTTGATTTAAATATTGATTAACACATGAATTTTCTTATTGATATTATTGAAAATCGGCACTCAAAAATAAAAATAATTTAAATTGCCATAACAAAGACTTGATTTTTGAACCAGATAAAAGTTATCCCTATGATAGAATACAATATAAAAAACCAAACTAAAAGTAGTAAGAATAAAATATTTCAGTCCTTTCAATTTTATATTCAGTTAGGTTATAATTCGGTTAATAGATAATACCGACGATTGAAAAATCAGAGTAAAAATGTTTTGCTAATGTTAATTTAAATTATGTTCTATTTTTTTGGTACATGTCAAATATGTTATTTACGATTTAAAAAACGAAATTAATTAGCATATTGTCTCCAACTGGATGTTATTGGGTAGTAATATTCTAGTTATTATTTTGGCGTCTTGTTGTTAATTCGTAACGTCTGAGCTTGTCCTTACGAGTATATTTGCTAAAATAAAATGTATTAAGGAAGTCTTACATTTAAACTATATTTAACAGATAGTTGAACTTGTCATTAAATTGTTTTTTATCTGTTCTTTGAATTTTGTACTCCAATGGCGTGCTCCCTTAATATTTTATTACAAATTTTATTGTTAGTTCATTTTTCAAACGACGTTTTCACAAATAAAAAAAAACATTCGAAAATTGAAATCTTTTTTAAAATTTTGGTATATCCATGAATCATTAAAAAGTAGACAGAGAAGACAAACGGAGTTTCATCATCATCATCATTACAGCTCTTCACAAGTCCACTGCTGATCATAGGCCTCCCCCAAAGAATGCCACAAAGCACGGTCCTGAGCCACCTGCATCCATCGACTTCCTGCATGTCTTACCAGGTCGTCACTCCATCTCGTGGGGGGACGCCCTACACTTCGCCTACCGGTACGAGGCTGCCACTCGAGAACCTTTCTTCCCCATCGGTTGTCGGTTCTTCGAGCTATATGGCCGGCCCATTGCCACTTCAGCTTACTAATCCATTGGGCTATGTCGGTTACTCTGGTTCTACTGCGGATATCCTCATTCCTAAGTTTATCACGCATAGAAACTCCGAGCATAGCCCTCTCGATAGCTCGCTGAGCGACCTTGAGCTTCCTCATCCGGCTAGCAGTGAAGGACCACGTCTCAGTTCCGTATGTCATCACTGGCAACACGCACTGGGTGTACAGTCTCGTTTTCAAGGTTTGAGGTATACCTGACGAGAAGATGTGCCGTAATTTCCCGAACGCTGCCCAACCGAGTTGAATCCGTCGATTGACCTCTCGGTCGAAGTTGGACTTACCTAGTCGGACTATTTGTCCCAGGTAAACATACTCGTCAACAACTTCGAGCTTAGTGTTCCCAACAACTACCGGCATAGGTGTGACATGGACATTAAACATGATCTTAGTTTTGTCCATGTTCATCTTAAGACCTATCCGTTGGGAAACACTATTGAGGTCATTGAGCATAGTGCTTAGGTCCTCCAGCGATTCTGCCATAAGGACTATATCGTCGGCAAATCGAAGGTGAGTGATGTACTCGCCATTGATGTTGATACCGTATCCTTTCCAGTCCAGAAGCTTGAAAACGTCTTCCAATGCAGCGGTGAAGAGTTTCGGGGATATGACGTCACCCTGTCTTACACCTCTCTGCAATTGGATAGGTTTCGTACTCTGGTTCTGTACTCGGATAGTCATCGTAGCCCTACTGTACAAGTACTTCAACACTTCGATATACCGACAGTCAACTTGGCACCGCTGAAGGGACTGCAGCACCGCCCAAATTTCGACAGAATCAAAGGCTTTCTCATAGTCCACATACGCCAGACATAGTGGCAAATTGTACTCTTCGGACTTCTGTACAATTTGCCGAAGGGTATGTATGTGGTCTATGGTGCTAAAGCCCTTTCGGAAACCGGCTTGATCGGGAGGCTGGAAGTCGTCAAGTCTGCGCGCAAGACGATTCGTAATGACTCTCGAAAACAGCACGTAGACGCGGCTCAGAAGGGAAATCGGTCTGTAGTTCTTCAAGAGAGCGTTGTCACCTTTCTTGAAGAACAAGACCACCGCACTTCTGCTCCACGCCTCCGGTGTAATGCCACCATGGAGGACGGAATTAAAGAGCCTCTGAAGGACTTCAAGTACCGGTTTTCCACCCGCTTTCAGAAGCTCCGCTGTAATTCCATCCTCGCCTGGGGCCTTACCGTTTTTAAGGTGCTGGAGAGCCATTCTAATCTCGCTCAGACTGACGTCCGGGATATTTTCGGAATAGTGTCGGATGAGACTCGCTCTTGGATCGTTACTCACACTTGCGTGTGGCTCCAACGATGACGTGTACAACTGCCCATAGAACCTCTCAATCTCACTCAAAATCTCAGGTGTCCCGGAAACGATGCTGCCACATTCTGTCTTCAGCTTTGACAGTTGGCTCTTTCTGGCAGACAGATCTCTGGCAAAGACTTTGGAGCCTTGGTTCCGCTCGATCGCTTCTTCAATACGAGCTGTATTGAAGTTGCGTAAGTCCCGCCGCATGCATTTGGAGATCTGTCTGTTCAGATGCCTGTATGCTGTCAAGTCTGTTGAAGAATGTAGCTTCATCTCCCGTCTAACAGCCATGAGATTAAGAGTGTGATCGGAGAGTTTTTGTGTTCTTCTGCGGCGGGTCTTGCAGAACTTAGCTCCGACCGCATGGACAGTTTCCACGAGCTTGTCATTCATATCGTCCACTTCATTGCAGTCTTCTAGGCACTGAAAACGGTTTTGTAACTCGAGCTGAAAGGTTTCGGGACTTTGGATTAGAGCACGAGGGGGACGGAGCGTTGACTTCATTAGACGAGACCTCTCCAACTTAACGTTTAGGTTCAGTGTGCCTCTAACCATTCGGTGATCGCTACCAGTTTTCACCCTCGCGATCACGGAGACATCACTGAACAGTTGTCGTCTGGTCGTCATAATGAAGTCAATCTCATTTTTTGTGGAACCGTCGGGGCTCGACCAGGTCCACTTCCTGTGGGGCCGCTTCTGGAAGAAAGAGTTCATCATAAAGAGTCCCTCTTTGTCCATGAAGTCGGCCAGCTGCTGGTCCCTTGGGTTGCGTTGCCCTATTCCAAATTTCCCTACTTTCAGCTCACCGTTCTCTCTTGTGCCTAGTTTTGCATTAAAGTCTCCCATTAACACCGTATATTGGGTTTTGGAGGAATGCATGGCTCTAGAGATATCCTCATACATTTCCTCGACCTCCTCATCGGGGTGTGCCGAGGTTGGTGCGTAAACCTGTATGACCTTCAGCGAATACCGTTTGGTGATTCTGAGTATAAGGCACGCAACCCTCGTCGACACACTGCCGATCTTTACAACGTTGTTAACGAGAGACTTGTGGACGATAAATCCGACACCTCCTTGGGACAGATGGTCGCCCTCCCGGTGATAGAGCAAGTTGCCGCATTCGAGGATTACCGTGTCCTCCCCCTCTCTTCGGACTTCGGATAATCCTATAATATGCCAGCGCAACTTGTCCATCTCTTCTTCCATTTCCACAATCTTCTCGTCAGTCCTCAGGGTGCGTGCGTTGTACGTTGCCAGGTCGAGTCGTCTAAGGTGGCAACCGAACCTCCACCGGAGATTCTTAGCACCCCCTGCCCCGCCGTTCATTCTTGTTTTATAAATGATAGTAATAAAATAGGGAAAAAAAGAAAATACAATTAAACGTAAATTTGGCAATGGGTACAAATACATACTCTAGCGCATACACAATACAGCCCATCACAAGTCCGCTGTTAAACATAGGCTTCCCCATAGATTGCCAAAACGCACGGTTTCTGTGGCACGGTCCTGAGCCACATGCATCCATCGACCACCTGAGTTTTTCGTCAGGTCATTACTCCGTGTAGCCAGAAGTGCAAAAAGTAAACAAATTTGATGAATTTGTAAAATAATACAAATAGTTTACTATATAATAATGTGAATTGGTTACAAACATTTTTTTAATATTCCTTTCCTAGGCAATAACTTTCCTGCACGCGCAGCACAATGTCCAATCAAAGTACAGCGTGCCAGATCGACTCATGCTGCGGTGGGTACTGTATTGGACACCGTGTCTTCAGCTGTAAAATCCTGGGATGAGGTGCCTGGTCCCAAGCCTCTACCTCTACTTGGAAACACGTGGCGCTTCGTTCCTTACATTGGTATGTATCGTTTAACATTTTTACTACAATCGTTAAATTACTTTACTTGTAATATAAAATAATTGCATGTCATTTTAAGTATTATGTTTCTTTTATGTTTTCGGCTGAAGATATCAAGTACTTCTTCAGCGTTCATTTTCGTAGGAATCTCTTTCTTAATGAATATGCATGGACTGGCCATTTAGACAATCTTCTCTCATACTGCTGCGAAGATATGTCTTCAACCGACGTAAGGTGGAAAAAAATGCTTGGCAGTGTTGGTTGTCTTATGAAACATTTGGCAGAACCTTTACTCTTTTATAAGCATCTGCTGCTGTTTTAAGGATATTTTCTCTCATCTCTTACCAAATTTGTAGCACACCCTTCAAAGCTAAAAAAATAAGTAGACCCTCGTTATATACTTCTGCAAAACATCCTCTATATCTTTATCGATTAAGTTATGGGACAGAAATTTTTGCAGCTTTCCTATTCTTTGCAGCTGAGCTCTGGGAAACGTAAAGGACATTTAATTTAATAAATAATCAAAAAAAGGAATATACACTGAGAGTCGGTAATATTCTTCTGAATCAATTCGTCTGAATATTCGATCTATTGTTTGACGGCCGGTTATTCTACGTACCGTGATTTCGGTTATAATTTCGTTTAAATGTGTCCGTGCTAGTATCACGTTGCCTCTGGAAGCTGATTGTCGTCATATCGACAAGCTGAGTTGTAGAAAGTACATCAACTTCAATGACACGCAAGGATCCAGAAAAAGGGAGTGTGATTCCCAAAATATCAGCGAGGATTACCAAGTTCACAAGAAATTCCGACGAAATTATAGCTTAGAGCAGCGAAACCACAGATAGCACGCCTGTCCTCTTGATCAGGCATTGTTTGCAAAACACCAGGAAGACATGGCAAGACTTCCAAACATGTCAAAACCGCTTCATATCATTCTACCCGTCTAGTTTCACAGATTTATTTTTAATGTGATTGGTCTTTACCTATGAGATTGCCGTTCAGCAGTACTCGTACTGGCCATTACAAATCAAAATATTTTTTCTCGGCTAAGAATTCTAATTTCAAATTAAATTAATACGTTTTTAATTTCTAATCTGATTTTTGACGAATTAAAGCTGATGATACTCAATCTACGACTGAATTAGCAGTAGCTTCCGACGTTAGAATCAAAACAATATTGGTTCATTTGCGTTAAATTAGCAAGGGAAAAAAATCTTGACACGAACTTATCGATCGCGAAGTACGCATCGAGACATGCTTTGCACTGCTCAACAGGCACACAAACGTAGGAATTTAGAATCGCATAAAGACCTGCGATAAAAATGGATTCTATTTGACAATCGCAAAGGCTCAGCAAGTTGTTTGGATCCTGGTTCAGCGCTTAAACAATGCCCTAAACGAAAACTTACCCCTAGAAAAGTGGTGGTCACTGTTTGTTGGTCTAGCGGCGGTGTGATTTATCACAGCTACCAAACAGGATAAGCATTACTGCAGATGTGTACTATGAAGAACTGACCACAATAATGGAGAAGCTCGCAAGTCTCTAACCAGCTTTGGTGAATCGCTCATTCCCGCTGCTCCTGCAAGACAACGCGCGACCTCATACTGCACAACAGAGGATCTCTAAGTTACAAGAGCTGGGGTTGGAAGTTCTCCGTCATCCGCAGTACTCACCAAACCTATAATATAACTTAAAACATATAACTTTTTGGCGGGAAAAATTTGTTGCCTTAATAAACTGCCATTGATTGCATGGGTGATTACTTTGATTGCACCCCGTCCCTACTGGATCCGTCCTTGAGTGTGGTTGTGGTGACACATTTACATAAAGACCTTTGTCCTTGAATTTTGAAGGCCTAAGAAAGAGATTCGGCTCAATCACTATCAATGTTAAAAATAAAATAAATAATAAGCAAGTGATTAAAATGCATGTTGTTGTTTTTATAACCCATCATTTGGTGTTGCATGCAGTGATTTGTAACTATGTTTCTACCAGTCGTATAAATACGTGCGTTGTTATCTTTTCGTAACGCATTTATGTGATCCGTTGCTTGAATACAAATTTATTTCATAACATAACATGAAGAAGAGCTGTTTCAAAAATACCGAAATTAGGACAAGGCTGTTTTTTTTTAATTCACCGTGTGCATCTTTATATTTTACGACTAGTAACACTTCATTGTTTATGTGCGAAAATTGATTTATCAATACTCTATACTTATACAATATTATTGTTATTTTTAATAACCTTTGTACTATTTTTGATATTTCATACACGCACATTATGTATATTATTGTGACCACACGTTAACAGAGCCAATATACATGGTCAGGAAATAGGTACCCATATATCATTTACTATATAGGAAACTGATAATATTTTTGTTAATTATAAGCTAGTGCTTGTCTACGATACAATACGTTAATTGCAAAAAGTTCTAGATTAATAAATTGTATGTAGAGGTCGCTAGAGGACAAAACAAAGATGATTGTGCTTTTTTATTTTAAAATACTCTCAAACTCAGATTTATCCTGTTTTACATACATAAATTGCACAAACTATATAAACGCTTTTTCCACGCGGGATCGGAACCCGCAGATACGTAGCGCTGCCGCTGGGTGCTTAGTCACTGCGCCACAAAGCTAAGTAATTGGTGGATCGGGCTCCTATACTGTCACCAGTCAATTTTACTGTACAGAAGCCATAATATCTTTTTAACACTCCCATAGCCACCTCTTACGATACCCACGGCACGAAATAAGGTGGTGAATTCTCTACACTAAAACCACTCGTTAAATGTTTCATTGGAGTTAGGGAACAGAAACAGTCTTGTAGTAATCGTAATCTTTTGTAGTATATTACGTCTTATCATCACCAAATAGCTTAAACATACTTGTGCTATATCTACAAATGGTTCACGATGATGGATTTATTCATTTAGAAATAATTCATTTCTCGTGGTTGTCGTAAGAGCCAACGGAAATATATGAAACAGGAGATGGGCAGTAGTATTTTCCTAATTACAACTCAATAATTATAAAAAACTGCGGTTGCCAACCCGTTTACCAAGCGTGATAACTATGGTAATTAAATCCATGGTACGTGGTAAAGCCATGCTGCAGCTATATTAATAGTATAGTTGTAGCACGAATGGGTCGGCTCGACCGGGGAAAGACGACGCACTCACAGAATACCAGCGTAAAATAGCAGCTTCATGCTGCCGTGTTTCGTTTGGTGAGTGTAGAGAACTGGAGACCATTTTTACTGGAAAAGAGGGATTCCATTTTAGTCCTCACAGCTGAGAACGCATCTGCATTTTATTCGCAAACGAGGATAGATGTAGATGTCTATGGGCCACAGCAACCACTTACCTTCAAGTGGACTGTGTGTTCGCTTGTTACCCTTATCCTTTACAAAAAAAGGACTTTCGATGGCGTGTGATAAATGAATGAATAATGATGACATGACAAAGTATTGAAAGCAGCTTCAATTAGCAATATTATAATCCTTTTGTGTTTTGTATGATGTGTGACGAGTAACGGAAATCTTTTTTACTAGTAACAATATCACAGAGGAGGCACTACATAATATGCATTTAGTTAATCGGGGACAGACACCGGTGTCTATGGGCCACATTATCCAACTTTCATCAGGTGGACTATGCGCACATTTTGAGTTATTATGAATCAACTGTCCTTTTAATTTTTTAATTTTGTATCTAAAATTTGAGCTTAGTGAATAATATTATCATAAAAAGAATGTGTCAATCTTGAATTTGTCGCAAATTCAAGGTCTACGAGTCGTGTTTCCATTGAGTAGTAGTTATTCCGGTTTTGGTTCATTTGTCTTATTTATTTTGAAAAAGTACTTACGCTCCATGGAAAATTATTTTATACGTCTTAAAACAAAACACAAATAAAGATTGTGATAATTTGCCTATTCTTATAACGAACCAGCGAACCGCTTCGGCTTTGTCTGGGTAGGATCTATTAATATGGTGTTGTTTAGATATAAGATAATCAAAACCATTTAATTTATATATTTCTCGTTTTAAAAAAAATGTTTTTCAGATATAACATAGCCTTGATTACTCCTGATATTGCTTTTTAACTGTTTGTAAACGTCGAAGAACGTCAGGAATTAAAAAGTTAAAATCCGTAAAAGCAGTTTTATTTAATGTTATTAAAGTTTCATCACAAAAGTCATCCCGAAGATTATCCCGGACAGAGAGATTAACAATTCAGTATAGATCAGTATATGTATACTTTGTCCTATTCTTATTTTTTATAGGATTGGGTGACAAGCGAGCACACAGTCCACCTGATGGTAAGTGGTTGCTGCGGCCCATAGACATCTACATCTATCCTCGTTTGCGAATCAAAATGTAGATGCGTTGTCACCTAGAGGATTAAGATGGGATGTCTCATTTCCAGTAAAAAGGGCCTCCGACCACCTGCACTCACCAAGCGAAACGCAGAGGTAAACCTCTACTTCACGCTGGTATTCTGTGAGGTCGTGGTACCACCCCGGTTCGAGCCGGCCCATCCGTGCGACAGCAAAAGTTGCCGCGTGGCTCTACCACTGTTAAATTATATACTCTAGGACTTAAAAAAACATGTAAACTTACACGATTACATGTACCTTATATTGTTACAAGTACACTTTAACGTCATAGGAAATGTATGACATTTGTAGATCTATTTTGACAGACTTGTTAATTGTATGCAGTAATACGGAAACTGAGGCTTGCAGCCCGCTACTTTAAACTGCATGTGCATAAATTTGAAAGGGAAGTTGCATAGGCATCAATTACACATGGCCTTGCTTTACAGAACATGTCTGCCTACTCTTGTCTTTTTTTTCACAGTTTACGTGAACTTTAATTCCACATCAGCTTCGACTCACTTATTTTTAGTTTCGATTCGTACGTATGAGAGACAAATGCAAAATAAAGGATTAATAACTTTTCGGTCTGTTAACAAATATATGGTCCTTCACTATTGGCCAGATGAGGAATCTGAAGGTCACTCAGCGACCTTGAGGTTGTATGGAGAGGGCTATGCTCGGAGTTTCTCTGCGTGATAAACTTAAAAATGAGGATATCCGCAGTAGAACCAGAGTGACCAACAAAGCCCAACGGATTAGTAAGCTGAAGCGGCAATGGGCCGGCCATATAGCTCGAAGAACCGACAACCGACGGAGAAAAAAGGTTATCGAGTGGCGGCCTCGTACCGGCGGACGAAGTGTGGGGCGTTCCCCCACTAGATGGAGTGACGACCTGGTAAGAGATACAGGAAGTCGATGGATGCAGGTGGCTCAGGACCGTGCTTTGTGGCATCCTTTGGGGGAGACGTATGTTCAGCAGCGGACTTGTGAAGGGCTGTTATGATGTATGATGACGATGATGAACAAATATATCATGTCCTTGTTTAATTTATTTTATTCCTTTGTTTTTTGAAAGGCGATAAAGATATATAAAATCGGAAAGTAGTAAGTATGTCAGACTATATTTTTAACGTATTTCTTATTCTTTCTTCTTTTTAACAGCCCACAACAGTCTACTGTTGGATATGATCATCTCCCATTGTAGGAAGTCGAATTGTTGATCGCAGTGCTAGATATATTGTACCTTTGACACACACCCGTCGCCGGTTAGGGTATCTTATGTTTTGTTTAAACAAGATTCGCTGAGTAGTTGCGGCACAAGACAATTCATTACCCACTACCATCGATCCATACGTGTTGTAAGACTCGACAGAGCGAAACTGAAACAGGAGATGGGCAGCAGCACCTTTTTTTTATTGGGTAGGGTGACAAACGAGCACACAGTCCACCTGATGGTAAGTGGTTGCTGTGGCCCATAGACATCTACATCTATCCTCGTTTGCAAATCAAAATGCAGATGCGTATGCGGATGGAAGAGGCTCTTTTCCAGTAAAAAGGGTCTCCGGTTATCTACACTCACCATACGAAACACAGCAGCGTTAAGCTGCTATTTTACGCTGGTATTCTGTGAGAACGTGGTCCTTCCCCGATCGAGCCGACTCATTCGTGCTACAACTATACTACTGATATAGCTGCAGCATGGCTCTACCACGTAAAAAACCTGTAAACAACTCAAAAAATGAGGAAGGTTCTCTAGTGACAGTTTTGTACCGGCAAACTAATGATACGGATTTAACATTTTTTTAGCATTAAACCAGACCATTGCATCTTGATATTGTAGGGTAAGAAATGAAACAGACAACTCATAATAAATATTAATATAAAAAGTAAAAACTAAGACAATAAACAAACTGGCTAACGCCTTTGCTACTTACCAATCATAATTTGGTATTTAAGGAGAAAGTGATTGGAATTGATTGATTAAATTGTTGTTTGTTTTTAATACATATTATTGTACTTAAAGTTGAATTTATAGATTTTACTTGATTAAAAAAAATTGAAAACTCCCGAAGATGATAGTGATATTGAGCCTAAAAGAAAATTCTATAAGAATTTCTCCCATCCGTTTAATAAAATTTAGATCACTAATTTTACTCATGTTAAAGTTCATTTGCAAATAGTATTTTATTTTCAACGAACGTGTTTCAAAATAATACCATGTTAGACATTGTTTGCGTGCGGCGGATTTCCTTTATGTGCCAAGATTTTTGTGCTCGACAGAGTAGGTACCGACCTAAGAAACTTCGATACGTCTTTGTTATGAGTTATATACCTATATAAAAAAAACGTCTTAACGTTAGATAAAAAATATAATTTTGGTGGATTCCATAGTTTAATGTATTTTCTATAAGTTAGCAAATGTAAGTAAAAATAATTTATTCATTACAAATCAAAAGTCCACTGCTAGACATAGGCCTCCCTCATAGGTTTCTTCGTAGATTTTGCCATATTCACCATGCTTGGTAAGCTGGTTGACAACCGCGATTCTTTTTTTAAATATTTGTAGTTGTTATCAGATAGATGCTGCTGCCAATCTCCTTATTTAGTTTCACTCTGTCGTCTTTTGTGACATTTACGGTATAATATGTAGTAGTGGATATTTTTACGCAGGCATTATACAGAATATTATTCGTTCTAACTCTACATCTACGGCTTTATACGTGGTAGAGCCATGCTGCAGCTATATTAGTAGTATAGTTGTAGCACGAATGGGTCCGCTCGACCGGGGAAGGACCACACTCTCACAGAATACCAGCGTTAAACAGCAGCTTAACGCTGCTCTGTTTCGTATGGTGAGTGTAGAGAACCGGATACCCATTTTATTGGAAAAGAGGCATTCCATCTTAGTACTCACGGGTGACGACGCATCTGCATTTTGATTCTTTATTGACCATAAATGTAGATGTCTATGGGTCGCAGCAACCACTTACCATCAGGTGGACTGTGTGCTCGTTTGTCAGCCTATCCAATAAAAAAACATGTGTTTTGGAAGCTTAAACAAAATAAAGTTAAGTAACTTATGTTACTAAATGTAGAAAAATTAAAATTTTGTTTCTTCTGTTAAGAATAGAAATATGTTGAAACCAAAGTTTTTGACGAAATTATCTTTATATTATACGTTCTCATGGAACACTGTTGTGGTAGCTTTACGTTCAATTCATTGTTCAATGTCTTCACGTGTTTATGTATTCTTTGTGTTTGAGGTAATTGCTTAAAATCGTTTTTAAATAACCGTTGTGTCGCTGTAGCAACCAAAATTACATGTTATTGTGAAACAGACTCTTATACTGTTATTTGGTAATTATCAGTAACTAGTTATTTATTTGTCTTGAGGCTGTAGGAGATGCTTTATCATTTAAAATAATTGAAATAATACCGCGTTCCACAGAAGACGGAGTGAGCATCTCAAGTGTGCCAAAACAGAGAAAGAATTATAAAACTTTAAAATCTCAGCCCCGATACTTTACAATATACTCGTACTTTATTAAATAAATGTTCACTACTCAACATGTGTAACTTGTATTTATTCTATATTTGAATATATTAAATTAATTTAGGATGGATTTATCAGTCGCAGCCGTGGTAGCTCAGGTAAAAATTTCACAATACGCTCGGTGTAAATTTCACAGTACACGAGCAACCCGGGTTCGATCCCCGCCGGCACCAATGAAATCGTTAGTTGCAATTTTAAGTGCTGATTTACCACGTGCTCGATGGTGAAGAAAAAAACCTGCATATCTGAAAAATAAGAAAAATATTTTGAAGCCATGTGAAGTTCGCCAACACACATTGGAACAGCGCGGCTGACATTTCTTTGCCCTAAAACCCTCTCAGAGATGAGAGGAGGCCTGTGCCCAACTGTGGGATGTATATAGGCTGTAACTTTAACTAACTTTTTTTATACGCATTAGTGTGTTTTCTACCAACTTAGTGAAACTGTTTGGAAATCGTGATGTAAGGGTTGCCAGAGGTTAACTTTCGCTAGGAAAATAAATTTTTAGCGAGAGAAAGGTGTATTTGAAGCTATATCTACAAGTTCTTGGACGGATTTTGCTTTTACAATACTTATATTAAACTGAATAACTAATTGTAGAATTTATGGATAGAAAACCAAAAATGTTTTATGAAAATAAAGTTTATTTGTAAAGATAATTAGGTAACAAGAATGATAACACTCGGTGACAACAGCATGGTACTCGTAATCGAGTAAACACTCATAATAACAGTTGTGGTTAAAACCATAGACTCGTGATATACTCTTAGTGTGTGCCAACAATCATGTGTGGTAATGGCTAACCATCCTATGGATAACCCGTTACCACACACGATTGTCTTAGTTACAGGTAACTAATATTTGAACTTGATTTATTATTATGAATTTATGGTTAACAATAAACCTCGATGTCCGAAGAAACTGTCCATGCGGTCGGAGCTAAGTTCTGCAAGACCCGCCGTAGAAGAACACAAAAGCTCTCCGATCACACTCTCAATCTCATGGCTGTTAGACGAGAGATGAAGCTACATTCTTCAACAGATTTGACAGCATACAGGCAACTGCCGGGCTATTCACAATCGTCTCGGAAAGCGAAATCGACTCGGATTCGATAACTTCTCGCACCGAAACCAATAAACGCTATTCACATTTAACGTTCGGATAAAGGTCACTTAAATACATCCCATAACTATTGTATCGTCATTTAGTTACATGCATTTACGATTTTTGTGGATAAATAGGCATTTTGTATTTTTTTAGAGTAACGCCTGAACAAAAACATAAGGCAATATTTTGATGTTAGCCATTGATATCGAATGCAAAAAAAAAATATAATTTTACTAAACTATATAATAAATAACAAAAAACTGAGATATGTCTAAGAAAGGTTCTTGAGTGGCAGCCTCGTACCGGTAGGCGAAGTGTGGGGTGACCCCTCACGAGATGGAGTGACGACCTGGTAAGACATGGAGGAAGTCGATGGATGCAGGTGGCTCAGGACCGTGCTTTGTGACATTTCTTGGGGGAGGCCTATGTTCAGCAGTGGACTTATTAAAGGCTGTAATGATGATGATGATGATGAATAAACCTCGATTAAAATTAAAATGCATGACATACATCTATGCGGACAGCTTTTTCTTTACCGCCACAACATGCTGTTCCACCTCCATCCCCCTTCCCCCTCACCGAACCGAATTCAAAAAGGATAAGGTTATATGAGAAAAATGTTCCCTTTTTCTACACCAATTTCTCGGAAATGGCAGAACCGATTTAAGTGATTCCTTTACGTTTGGATAAGCTATACTTCAAGGATGAAGATTACGTGGAAATTATTTTAAGTTTTTAAGTTTTTGAAATCGATATATACTTTTTATTTAAAAAATATTATTAGCGAAATATATCTTTATCCAGAGAGAATGTAAATTTCAATTACATCCGATCACTATTTGAAGTTGGCGAACGTGTTTTAAATTATTTATTTATTCGTAGGTGGCTATTCTGTGGAGCATGTGGACAAAGTGTGTATGTCTCTACGTCAGAAATATGGAAAATGCGTCAAAATGGCGGGGCTGTTAGGCAGACCGGACATGCTTTTTGTCTTTGATGCCGGTGAAGTGGAAAGAGTATTCAGAGGAGAAGATGCCGCTCCACACAGGTATTAAGATCATTATTTTTAGACTACTACTGTATATTTTGTATGTACATATGTATTGTGCTACATCGTAGATCAAAAAGTATTATGCGCCTTAAATTTTTTCGGAGCAATTATTAATGAATAAGTAGTATATACTAGTACATTTTATTAGGGTTCCGTAGCCAAATGGCAAAAAACGGAAACCTTATGGATTCGTCATGTCTGTCTGTCTGTCCGTCCGTATGTCACAGACAGCCACTCTTTTCCGAAACTATAAGAACTATGCTGTTGATACTTGGTATGTAGATGTATTATGTGAACCGCATTAAGATTTTCACATAAAAATAGAAAAAAAAATATTTTGGGGGTGCCCCATACTTAGACCTGAAACTCAAAATTTTTTTTTCATCAAAACCATACGTGTGGGGTATTTATGAATAGGTCTTCAAAAATAATATTGAGGTTTCTAATATCATTTTCTTCTAAAGTGTTCTTCTAGTTTGCGCGGGAGACACTTCCAAAGTGGTTAAATGTGTGTCCCCTGTAACTTTTAAAATAAGAGAATGATAAAACTAAAAAAAAATTATGATGTACATTACTATGTAAACTTCTATCGGAAATTGATTTCAACGAGATCTAGTAAGTAGTTTTTCTTTAATGCGTCATAAATCGTAAACCGCAATTTACCTTTCATTCAATCAACTCAAATATAAAAATAAAAAAAATACACTATTATTAAAACATCTATCAAAGTTATAAAGAACTACAAGAACTTTTATATTATGTTACTTGCTGCTACGGCACCCTTTATGGGCGAGTCCGACTCGCACTTGTTTTAATTATTTATAATATATTCATTATGATATTGGGAAAACTTATAGCAGGCTACAAATTTATGAACAAAAAATAAACTTTTACTGTACTACCTATAAATGCTCCTATCGGAAAAAGATAAACAAAATTATGCTTATTATACATTATAAATCGTTGATTATATTAGAAAATCAAGAAACTCCTAGTATAGCCTTCTCTATAATTTTTCAAGCGAACTTGAGCTTCCCCATACAGTCAGCAGTGAAGTACCAGGTTTTAGATCCATATTATGTCATCACAGGCAACACTCAAGGTCTCTAAGTCGTATCACGATTTTTTGGATTTCACAAAGAGGTTGTACGAGAATGACAATTCCTCGGAGCAATCCCCGTGGTAAATGCGATAGAAAATGTAAAAGGATGCAACATCCCTTCGCAGCACCAGTGAATCGAGCCGACCAGAAAGAACTCGGTCGTCGACAATTCTAGCCGCTCTTCGCTAGATGCGGTCAAGTGGAAGGAGCTGGTTCTAAGGTACCCCGGCTCAGAGATGAGAACAGTATTCCATGTGAGGTCGAACTCATGCCTTGTAAAGTTGCAAGCGGTGTGCCAGCATGAAATACTGTCCCGTTGTACTGACCACGTCAAGCTTTTTAGAGGCTAATTTAGCCTTCCCTTACAAATGACCACGAAACTGCACATCATTTGATATGTCGACGCTGAGGATTCCGATGCTAGCTGAGGCAGCAAGGGGAGTACTCTGAAATTGAAGAGATATGACAAAAGTGAGATATTGAAGCGATAATTTCATACTTCTTTCCCTAAAATTTGAAGCATTTATGAGATAGAGCTGAAGTGGTGATGGGCTGGGCATATAGTTTGAAGAACCGATGATGGGGATGAAAGGTTTTCGAATGACAACTGCTCCTTGACGTAAGATGATTCTAGATGTTTATTTAGCACAATACCATAACAAATCTTGCATTATATTTCCTGATACATAACGTTGTCAAATTATACGATGCCCACATTTACATTTTCTTAGTTACCGTAATATGGTACAAAGATTGGATGTCTTACATAAAATACATACATACATAAACACTCACGCCTGTCACCCAGAGGGGTAGGCAGAGATTATGGACTTCCATTTGACACGATCCTGACACACCTCTCTCGCTTCCTCCACATCCATATACCTACGCATACATGGATGTCTTATTACCAGTAAAAGCGGTCCCCGGTTCTCAAGCAGTTACAGCTACTATTTTACGCCGGTATTCTGATCGATCTTTCTTCTTCTGAGCATTCCGAAGGAGCTGACCTATTCGTGCAGCAGCGTGGCTTTACATTTGGTACATACATGACTTTACACATGAATGGAGTTAATTTACTTTTATTTACTTGTTTCAGACCATCCATGCCGTCTTTAAATTATTACAAACATACTCTGCGGAAAGATTTCTTTGGCGCTGAGCAGGACTGTGCAGGCGTTATTGCTGTGTAAGTATTTTTAATTCTGCATTAACAACCAAATAATATTATTGTTTTCGGCTTCTCTTAATACCTTTTGTCTTTATGCAGGCACGGCGATTCTTGGGCCGCATTTAGAACTAAAGTTTCGAAAGTGGCGTTGAGCACTAGCAGTGCTGCTCAATACACCGTCCCTGTTGCGGAGGTTGCTGATGCTTTTGTAAACAGGTAAATATTAAAGTTCCAAAATTCAAAATTACTTCATCTTCTGTTTGAAAATCTTTCTGTACAAAATGTATATACGATTAATAGATAAAATATATTTGAGTGACAAAAGCAGTAACTTCACCAAATAAAAGAAGATGATAATGATTAATTCAGCACTTGTTCAACTGTTACCAATTTTAAATAAAGAAGACAACAGATGGAACCTAAGGACTGGAGTGTTATTCCCTTAGCTTTTAATGAAATTTGAAACAAGACATTTTTCTTCAAGCCATCGTAAATATGTGATGTACTGATGAACGAAGTTTGGATTATGTATATGCAGTCCCCAGATGGCTAAATTAGCGTGTAATTCGGATAGCTAGTCTATTAATTAGATGTCGGCATTCTGTTGGACGCCTAGGCCTATGTTATTCAACGTTTAACTAGTTGGTTGGCTGAATGCTAACCTTTTTAAAACGGCTAACCTAAATGCCGCCGGGTTTTGTACGTTTCGTTTTTACTAATGTCAATTTAACACAAAAAAATATTTAAGTTAAAATTGAATGATTTTTTTATAGGATAGGGTGCGAAACGAACACAGTCCACCTGATGGTGAGTGGATGCTGTGACCCATAGACATCTACATTTATCCTCAATAAAGAATCAAAATGCAGATGCCTTGTCACCCGTGGGGACTAAGATGGAATGCCTCTTTTCCATTAAAAAGTGTTGCCGGCTCTCTACACTCACCATACGAAACACAGCAGTGTTAAGCTTCTATTTTACGCTGGTATTCTGTGAGAGCGTGGTCCTTCCCAGGTCGAGCCGTCCCATTCGAGCTACAACTATACTACTAATATAGCTGCAGCTTGGCTCTACCACTTAAAAAAATTGTTCTTAAAAGTTAATGAAAATTGAATAATTTGTTGAATTTTCAGGATACGTCAAATACGAGATGAAAACTTGGAGACTCCTGGTGACTTTTTGAACGAAGTTAACAAATGGTCCTTAGAGTGTTAGTATAATATTTATATTATGTTACTTTTTTTTCATCTATTCATTACAGTGACAACCCGTCAAAAGTCCACTAATGAATATAGGCATATCCCATAGATTTGTTCAAAGGTATAATATTTGCCATAGTTGCGATGCTTAGCAGATGAGTTGCCAACTTCAGTTTATATTATTTTGAGTTATAATCAGAATGGCGTTGCGGCCAGTTTTCTGTTTCATTGACCTCCGCTGCCTCTTACGATTAGGGTTACCAGATTCAAAAATGTGTTTTCCTGACCAAAACCTTGACTTTTCAATAATATTTCTGACATGTGCTTATCATATGCGCAATATCCAGCAATAAAAGTACGGGCGTGATCATTTCAATGAAATAATTAAATTGTAGAGATTTGATTCATTTATTATTATTTGATAACTGTTTAATAAATTTAAAAATTCCTCTAAATTTACGAACATGTCAGGAAAATTCCTGTCTTCTGGTAACACTACTTACAATACCCTTGGTATGGAAATGAGATATATCACTAATAGCAATTGCTTTCAAAAATTGCCTGTTTCAAGAAGTATCTTATATTTTAAATTAAGAAACAAAATTGCCGCAAGCTAAATTAGAATTGAAAATAAAAACTAATATACTTTTTGATACAGATACCGTTAAATTTTACCAAATAACTGTAGAAATACGTACCTGATAATTATTTTTATACAATGAGCGACAAACAAGTTTGCATTACACCTGATAAGTGGCCACTACTTCGAAACAACTCCTGCAGGCAAAACTTAACAAGTATGGCTACAGATACGTGGTCATCTCTGAGAACAAACATAGAAAACTAAACTTGAAAAAACTCTTATGTTTTACATTATGTTACATGTTATATGATATGATTTTACTTCGCCTACAGCTTTGGGCCTCATAGCGTTGGACACACGGTTGGGGTGCTTCGAATCTGTTGAGGGTTCAGAGAGCCAACGACTCATCGACGCTGTACACACTTTTTTCTTAAGTGTTGGCGAGCTTGAGCTACGAGCACCTTGGTGGAGAATCTATCCAACAGCTATGTTTAGACGATATGTGGCTGCTTTAGACACAATTCTGAGGTATGTGTCAACGGAATATTATATATTAAAAAACACACAAAATTTCATCACTCATCTTAAAAAGTATGTGTATTACCTAAAAATATTTATTCAGGGTTTGGATGTTTGTTTTGCGTAATTTATGTATGTAAACGATACAGAAGAAAATCGTAGTGTTTCGTTTTTATAGAAATTAAAGTGAAAGTTTAAATTAATGAAAGTCAAATTTAATTTGTCTACGTTTATTATTGTAAAAATAAAACTTATAATAACTGATTTTACAACTTTTACTTGCTTTACAGCGTCACTCTAAGGCACGTGGAACGAGCTCTAAAGGAGTGTGAAGCAAACGGAGGCAGCAAGTCATTGTTGCAAGACTTGGTATCAGCAGCGGGATCGAGGGTCGCTGCGGTGGCCGCTTTAGACCTATTCCTTGTGGGAATAGATACGGTACGATATAAAGATTCATCAATCAAGTCGACTACTGATCACAGCCCCCTCCCCAAAGGGCATTGACTTCTTATTGGATACATTATTGTTTTATTAAATTTTAGTTAATCATGCATGTTATGATATTTCACAACATGCACAATTAACTTCTTGTATATTTTAAAAATAATTATTGTGCTTGTACAGTAGGGCTACGATGGCTATCCGAGTACAGAACCAGAGTACGAAACCTATCCAATTGCAGAGAGGTGTAAGACAGGGTGACGTCATATCCCCGAAACTCTTCACCGCTGCATTGGAAGACGTTTTCAAGCTTCTGGACTGGAAAGGATACAGTATCAACATAAATGGCGAGTACATCACTCACCTTCGATTTGCCGACGATATAGTCCTTATGGCAGAATCGCTGGAGGACCTAAGCACTATGCTCAATGACCTCAATAGTGTTTCCCAACGGATAGGTCTTAAGATGAACATGGACAAAACTAAGATCATGTCTAATGTCCATGTCACACCTATGCCGGTAGTTGTTGGGAACACTAAGCTCGAAGTTGTTGACGAGTATGTTTATCTGGGACAAATAGTCCGACTAGGTAAGTCCAACTTCGACCGAGAGGTCAATCGACGGATTCAACTCGGTTGGGCAGCGTTCGGGAAATTACTGCACATCTTCTCGTCAGGTATACCTCAAACCTTGAAAACGAGACTGTACACCCAGTGCGTGTTGCCAGTGATGACATACGGAACTGAGACGTGGTCCTTCACTGCTGGCCGGATGAGGAAGCTCAAGGTCGCTCAGCGAGCTATGGAGAGGGCTATGCTCGGAGTTTCTCTGCGTGATAAACTTAGGAATGAGGATATCCGCAGTAGAACCAGAGTAACCGACATAGCCCAACGGATTAGTAAGCTGAAGTGGCAATGGGCCGGCCATATAGCTCGAAGAACCGACAACCGATGGGGAAGAAAGGTTCTCGAGTGGCAGCCTCGTACCGGTAGGCGAAGTGTAGGGCGTCCCCCCACGAGATGGAGTGACGACCTGGTAAGACATGCAGGAATTTGTTGGATGCAGGTCGCTCAGGACCGTGCTTTGTGGCATTCTTTGGGGGAGGCCTATGTTCAGTAGTGGACTTGTGAAGGGCTGTAATGATGATGATGATGATATATAGCATTTAGTATATTCTTATTTATAGACCTTAAATTTTAAAGTAGTCTTTTTTGCTTGGAAAAACGCCTACGTCTCGCGAGTGTCTAAATTTCTAACTTCATTGCATCAGCAGGGCCACAGGAATGTCTTTGCATACATTTGCAGCCTCACTAGCGCCGACCATCCCATAATAGTTCCTCGTCGGGGGAGGACAACTCTACCCCCTATTCTTTCTTAGGTAACGCGCGCCGGAACATAAGGCGCACATAGCTAATATATTTTGGTGTAATTACCACGCTTGACATGCAGGTTGTCGATGGCACGACTAGACTTCTTGCGCCTTTGCTATTGCTTCACGTCACTGATCACTGGTCTGAACATTTAATGGAGTCCATGTGATTTGGCATTATCCATAGCCGTCCCTTAAGATAACCACTGGACGGGATATATGGTGATGAATTCCTTTAGTCCACCGCTACACGGCATATTTATGAGTATATTGTCTGATAATTAATATAGTTTTTTTTTCGCGGGTGGGTGTAAATAAGTGCAGACGTGTTTCGTTTCGTAAAACGTATTTATTTTAAAAAAGAAATAATTTACCATACTTTTATTATTTTTCTATATAATACAGTATTAAGCATCAACGTGTAAAGGTTTACCTTCTTATGCACTAGTTTTTTTAGCACTGCACAAACTGCTGGAACCAAGATTTTTTTTACACACGAACAGTTGTTACTACATACGTCACTATGTCCACAATTGCCGATATTTCCAGAAGTCAGGAGTCTTTGGAAGCGCTCATCACCCGTAAAATGGCAGATTTTGAATCAAAACTCAACTCCAGCGCTTCCAAGAGTAGCAATGTAGACAGGATCAGCGAGGACTATACCGCTTTTCAGAGTTACGTCAAGGATATGTTTAACCTTCTTCGCCAGCAAATTGCAGAAGTCAGTCGCTCGCTTGACATTATAGAAACAAGGCATCGCAGGAAATTCCTTTTAATGGGCGGTGTCCCTGAAAAACCAGGCGAAGATTTATCCGAAGTCGTGATCAAAATTTTTCACGAAAATCTAGGTCTTAAAGATATAGCACCATCTTGTCTTCGAGCAGCATACAGACTTGGCCCGGTCAAATTACACCATACTCGTCCTATATTAATGCGCTTCACAGATATGTCACTGCGCTCAACTGTTTGGTTTAAAAAAACAATGTTAAAAGGCACCTCGTTTAAATTATCGGAATTCCTTACAAAATACAGGCAAGACTTATTTTTTCAAGCCCGTAAGCATTTTGGAATTAAAAAAGTCTGGTCATTTGAGGGCAACATAAGCGTTAGACTGCCTGATGGGTCTCGACGTCACATCTTTAGCGCTAATGACCTGGATGCACTACTGCGCGATCTTCATAAAGCTGGGTGCAACGAGGAGCCGGAACAAGTGAAGGCAGGAACTAGTAGTGTAGTTTCCCGTAGCGAGCAGCCAAGGACCCGACGAGCATTCAAAAATAAGTAAACATTCTCGGGATAGTGGTAATGCTTTGTTTACACTTCGACGGCTTATTAATTACTACTACTGCTGTGTGTACTGTGTACGTCACTGAGCGCTTTTGTATTCGATCCTTTTGTTCTCCGCAACCGGTTATTAGGCTGATTTGCGACGCAAGTAATAGTACAGACTAATCTGAACCTTAAATTTCGTGAAATTACGCATTAGAGTATTTTTTTTCTCGTTTAAATTACCACTTCTCGTAGTGATTAACATATGTTTTTTTTTTCCTTCTTTTTCAATACGTACGAGTTTTGTTGTCTATGCAATTGTAAATAATTAAAATTAGATACTTTCTTTTAGTAAGTATTACTTGTTGTTTTCGTGTAATATTTTAATTTTTCTTTTTGTAAACAGTTTACCGGCGCGTTTGTTTGCAGTGCAATTATCAGTTAATAGGGTTTTTTTTTCTATATTTTTAGACATATATCATAAGTATAATCATATATTATGACAGATTCTGATACCAATGAACTATTTCTCTCTGCTGATTCAGATTCTTCTTTCTTTTCACTAAATGACTCTTTTTCGGAACCTACTACTCTTCGTTATCTGCTTACTCAAAAGTTTCATGGTTTGACTAATAACTTTAACGTTTGTTACATTAACGCTCAGAGCATTCCGCAACATTATAATGAACTTGTTGATACTTTTCATAATCAGTCTATTTCTGCGATACTTGTTTCGGAAAGCTGGTTAAAACCTACCTTACCGTCCACCTCCTTTGGAATACCTGGTTTTGTCCTCTTAAGAAATGACCGTACGGGCAAAAGAGGTGGTGGTGTAGCGGTATACTTACGTAATGGTATACCCTATAAAAAATTATGTGCTTCTTCATCTGTTTATTCTGGTACAATAGAATACATGTTCTTGGAGATTACCATCAGTGGGACTAAGACTGTTCTCGGTGCAATTTACTGTCCACCAGGAGTTAATTATTTTTGTGACCTTGAATCGGCTCTTTTTTCTATTGGCTCTGATTATCAGCACTTTATTATAATGGGAGACTTCAATACCGATATTCTCTGTAACTCAGCGAGGTCACGTGAATTGTATACAGTTATGAACTCCTTTAATTTGTCACTTCTTCCTCTCGACCCCACACACCACAATCTTGATACTGCTGATTCTTTAATAGATTTAATAGTGGTCGCTTCTGAAGACCATGTCGTTGGCCACGGTCAACTCTCCGCCCCTGGGTTTTCGCAGCACGATTTACTGTATATTTCTTATAGGATTAAATGTCCTAAGGTCAATCATGTGACGGTGCATCTGCGTAATCTAGCGAGACTTAATGTTGAAGAACTTCAGCAAGGTGCTTGTAGTATAGATTGGAGTGATACTTTCAGTGTGGAGAGTGTTGACGAAAAAGTAGCTCTTTTTAATTCAAATATACAGAAGTTGTTTGATAAACACGCTCCTCCACACAAAGTCAGACTGAAACGATCTCCTGCGCCGTGGATTACTGAGGATATCCGCAGGGCTATGGCAAAGCGTGATCGAGAATTTAGTAAATATAAGAGTAATCGGTGTACTGCTAACTGGACTCGATTCAAAGCCGCTAGGAATCGGTGTAATCAGATGGTGCGGGCCGCTAAACGCCGTTATATTCATCGAAATATCCTTAACGCTTCTATGGCTGATTCGTGGAAATTTTTAAAATCAATCGGGATAGGTAAACCTGCTTCTAACTTTGATCCTTCAATCTTCTCTGGTAATCAACTTAATACATACTTTTCTACTACACCACAGCTGCATTCGTCAATTAAATCTACTACTATTGCCCATGTTAATTCTCTTCCAAAATTTTACAAAAGCTCTTTCAATTTTTCTCCCGTTACTGATGAGGATATAAAAAAGTCAATTTCTTCCATCAAGTCCGCCGCAATAGGCTCTGATGATGTGAGCAGAATCATGATCAATTTCATCCTCGATTATGTCTTACCAGTACTTACCCACATAGTAAATTTTTCATTAAATACTGGGGTTTTTCCTTCACTATGGCGAAATGCTTTTGTTCTCCCACTTCCAAAAATAAATAATCCTAGTTCTGTTTCTCACTTCCGTCCTATCTCTATTCTTCCTTTTTTATCAAAAGTACTTGAAGCTATTGCTCACAGACAAATTTCTGACTACGTCTTTAAAAATAACTTTTTAAGTAGCTATCAATCAGGTTTCAGGCCAGGACATAGTACAACAACAGCCCTGCTTAAAGTTACGGAAGATTTACGTATAGGTATGGAGGAGTCAAAATTAACTGTGTTAGTCTTAATAGATTTCTCAAACGCTTTTAATGCTGTTGATCATGACATCCTTCTTACAATACTTTCTCACATTGGTTTCTCCTCATCAGCGCGGGAATGGTTTGCATCCTATCTTCAGGGACGTCAGCAGGCTGTTCGCGTGGGTCCAGTTATTTCTGACTGGTGCACGCTGGTTGCTGGCGTTCCTCAAGGCGGAATTCTCTCACCTCTTTTGTTTTCAATTTTTATAAATCTAATTACATCTCACATTCGCTGCACGTACCATCTCTATGCCGATGACTTACAAATATATGCTCAGTCTGATGTTAACGATATCGAAGATGCGATCACTGAGCTAAACTCTGACCTCACTCGTATCTCTGATTGGTCTAGCAAATTCGGTATTACTGTTAACCCTACCAAGTGCCAGGCAATTATAGTTGGAAGTAGCCGTCGCTTATCTGCATTGGATTTTAATTCACTGCCACCTGTAAATTTTAATAATGCTGTCATACCTTATTCACCTACTGTGAAAAATCTAGGACTTATCATTGACAGCAGTCTAAGTTGGCGGCCGCAAGTCACGGAAGTAAGCAAAAAAGTTATCAACACCTTGCGTTGTCTGTATCGACTCAAGAATTTTCTTCCAGTGAGAACAAAGGTAATGTTGGTTCAAACGCTCGTATTACCAATACTAGATTATGCAGATGTATGCTATGCTGATGCCTCTCAAGAACTTCTTAACAAACTGGATCGTCTTCTCAATAATTGTATTCGCTTTATCTTTGGCTTACGTAAATTCGATCACGTTTCTTCATTCCGTTCTCAGCTCAAATGGCTGCCTCTTCCACTTCGTAGATCTTTTAGAATCCTTTCTATGCTATTCTCTATTTTACACGATCCGTCTGTCCCTGCATATCTGAAATGCAAATTTCAGTATCAGGACGATTCTCACAACCGATGTCTCCGTTCCGCGGAAAATCTAACTCTTCATGTTCCTTTCTGTCGCACGGGCTTCTCTTACAATTCTTTCACTTCAAATGCAGTAAGACTCTGGAACATGTTACCCAGAAATATAAAAGAAGCAAAAACTAAACCTATCATTAAACGTTTGCTCTGGGAATATTACTTAACGAAGCAGCAGTAGTTTCGGATAATAATAAAAAATTTAAAAAACCTCGGAAACTGTTATATTCTCAAATATGTATAATATAAAAATATCATATTTATTAACTGTGTATGTATTTATTGTGGGTATTTGTGTACAAGTATAAAATACTATTGTATGCATGTAAGTAGTAATGTAAATGTATATGTATGTGTATTGTATTTATTATCATTATATTATAATTTTGTATTTTTTTTTCCTTAAACCTTTAATTTTTTTTATGAGTTTTGCACCCATCACTAGATTCTCTGCACAAACCAAAGGTAGACTGGTAGAGAATGCCTTTAGGCATTAAGTCCGCCGTTTTGTACATTTCTTGTATGTGTGCAAATAAAGCTTAAATAAATAAATAAATAAATATTATTATAAATTTCAGACATCGAACGCGGTGGCTTCGACGTTATATCAACTGGCTTTACGACCCGAAGTCCAAGAACGGTTACACGAAGAAATAACTAAAGTTTTACAAGGCAGACCTTTGACGCCTGGCGATATTAATCAGATGCCTTATTTAAAAGCTTGCATTAAAGAGGTTCTAAGGTAATTCTTTTTGTATTCTCAGATAGCGGTTCAGAGGTCATTCTCTTAATAGATATGGTGTGTGAGTACAATATTATTGTTAAAAGTTGTATACTATATTAGTGACTGAGAACACTATAATGATCTTTTTCTTTGTAAATATTGGTACCCCTATTTACAAAGGAAAATATTCTAGATATCAAAACACATTATGTTTTTAAGTACATAATAATAAAACTATCTGTATGTTAAAATCCACAAGATGCAACGTTTAGCATACGAAAACAAACGAACATAGTTATCCTCAATTTTGATTTCGTTTTTCATGAAATGTAGAATTAAAACAGAAATTAAATTCGATTTGTAAATTGAAATCTAAAAGTCTAAAACAAAACAAAACTCGCCTTTGCAAACGCTTCACTTACGCATCTTTTATATTTATGTCATAGTTCGTGTGTATTAGTAGTCATGTGTCGAGAAAATAGTTTATTACTATGCTAATATCAGGTGCTGCTGTAGTGAAGTTATTGACAAATTCTGTATTTATGGACCAAAATTGCTTGTATTCCCTAAACGTAAACTAACATTTTACGTGGTATAGCCATGCTGCCAGCTATATTAATAGTATAGTTGTAGCACGAATGGGTCGGCTCGACCGGGGAAGGACCACGCTCTCATAGAAACCAGCGTAAAATAGCAGCTTAATGCTGCTGTGTTTCGTAAGGTGAGTGTAGAGAACCGGTGACCCTTTTTACTTGAAAAGAGACATTCCATCTTAGTGCGCACGGCTGACAACGCATCTGCATTTTGATTATTTATTGAGGATAGATGTGGATGTCTATGGGTCACAGCAACCACTTACCATCAGGTGGACTGTGTGCTCGTTTGTCACCCTATCCTATAAAAAAATAACATAATATGGTATGGTGACAAGAAAGAAGATCATATAATCTGGTCTCGTTAGGTGGCGCTACTGTTCAATTATTAAAATGTTTTATATTTACACTGTAAAATTTCAAGAGTGAAACTTATCGAGCCATCTATCGGAAAGGGCAGAATAAAGTCTGCCGGGTCAGAGAGTAGGTATACCTAAAAACCTTTTTATAAGTTTTTAAATCGACTGTTCTAAAAGGGGGTTCTTCTTCCTCAGCATATGGTCTCTTATAACAAAACAAAGTTGTTGTAAAATAACAAATAGCAAACAAACTAATAATAGGTCTATTGGTCTCAGATATACAACAGTGTTTCATTCTGATAATAAATAAAATAGTCTAGTAATAGTAGTAATAGAAGTGACAAATGAACTCACAGTCCACCTGATAGTAATTGGCTACTGAAGCCCATGAACGTCTGCAATCGACTTCAACCAAGAAGGCTACAGATGCGTTGTCACCCCTGAGGACTAAGATGAGGTGTGAAACGCCTAGATAGAAAGCACTACCATCATCTAGTGTCCTGCATTTTCTGCATATAACAACATAAGCATACGGATTCGTTACATAGATGACTACCATAATATTTTGAAATGTTAAAATGTTACATGTGCAAATATACTTTACTTATATAAAAGACCAGTAAAGAGTCCAAAAGAGTAGTAAATTTGGCCACCTTACTAAAAATATCATGGTACATTTTATGGTAAAATATTTTAAAATAGGATTCAAAAGCTTATATGTAAATAATAATAATAATAATAATAATAATAATAAATGTATTTAAATTAATAAAATTTTAATTGTAAATTAATAAAAATAATAAAAAAATAATAAAAAATAATAAAATTAATAAATAATAATAATAATAAAATATTTAAAAAAAAACACAGAACTTTTCTGTATTTTGGCTAAGTGTTTCTGGTAAATACCAGAAACACTTAGCCAAAATACAGAAAAGTTCTGTGACTCCCACACTAGGCATGGCCTGTCTCGTTGTTTATTATGTTTAAGCGTTAAATTAAAGTTAAAATTTATTCTTTTACAGAATGTTTCCCGTTGTAATTGGTAATGGCAGACAGTTAACTAAAGATACTGTAATTTGTGGCTACAATATACCAAAAGGCGTAAGTAATTGATGATATACTAATTGCGTTTCTTTTAAATTTGTCCCAAAACTTTAAAATGTGTGTTATTTTATTTTACAAACTATCCATCTTAATTCAAACTGTGGTTAATGGATAATCAGGCTTCAACTATGGTTTAAAAAGAGTCATTCACATGCAAGACTAGCTGGAAAGACTAACTTCATAGCATGCAACTGAAATTCGATTCCAGACAGCACCAAAAAAATTATAAATTGCAATATTTGGTGTCAAAAATCAATTGCCGACCCGAGAATTGAAAGCAGTAAATACCATTAATCACAACACTATCCCACAATCTATGCATTTTTGTGGTACATTTTTATATACATAGTATTTTAGTGTTTAAAGTAATTAATATAGATAGAGTTGAAAATGGGTGAGTAAACCGTGAAATGCCTTTTGTACGCCGATGATCAAGTCATATTTGCATCGTCGGCGGCGGAGTTGCAAATGATGGTTACTTTAATGAACTGGTCATTAAAAGAAAGGGGTATGAAAGATAAGAAAGTAAAAAGTTATGTGAAATAAGAATAGAAGGGGAGTTGATTGAGCAAGTGGATGAGTTTTGAATGACGTGTATGCGTGGATTTATGGATGTAAAGGAGGTGAGAGAGGTGTGTCAGGATTGCGCCAAGTAGAAGTCCGTAGTCTCTGCCTATCCTTCTGGGTGAGAGGCGTGAGTATTTATGTTATTATGTAATATCTACCCAATTCAGACAAAATGATTATTGCGACAAAATCAGTCGAATAATCTAGCTTTTTTATTTAAAACGTCTAAAAAAGAAAAAAGTCTAGGTAGACTTAAATAACGTTATAAAACACTACAAATATTAGTTTAAAGCCATGCGACCGCGGTAGCGGAGTGAGGATTGGGCGGGGAAATGAGCGAGACAGGAGCATGCTTATCACTTTAATCAACCCCAACTAGCTATTATGAATAATATCAAGATAAATTAATGAATTTATCAAATTATCTAAACAACTTAGTCAATATGTACATAATACTCGTTTCTAGCCAATATGTATGATCACTATTCAATCAGAGTGCTTGTATCATATACATATACTAATTTTAAAATTTTAGACGCAAGTCATTTTTCAACATTATGTGATGGGTAATTCCGAGGAGTATTTCACGAACGCATCAGAGTTTCGTCCAGAGCGATGGATTCAGCGATCCATGTACAAACACCATGCATTTGCGTCTTTGCCTTTCGGCTTCGGGAAGAGGATGTGTCTCGGGCGACGATTTGCCGAACTTGAAATGCACATAGTTCTATGCAAGGTAGGTTCGGGTTTAATCTATATCGTTATTTTATTACACTCTGAACATGACTTTAGGTTTTCTGTATTCAACAACCATCCAAAATAGCCTATAACTAGTGATAACTAACACAATTAGCGATAACTCAAAAAACTAAATAACTAATTAAATATAATTAATAGAATCAGGCGTTACTTTGCGGAAATCCATTATATAAAAGCTTTTAGAAAAATTTTACTTCGCAAATATCCGCGTTATAAAATAAAATGATGTGTCTTACCTAGTATGAAGAGCAAGTCAAGTCACTTATCGGTTAGCCACCGTAGAGTCTATATCACATGAGGACGCCTCGTGTAGAGGCGAAACACGTGTCGTATTATCGTCAGTGGTGTGTCTTGCCTAGTGTAGTGGTGTTGGAAGTAGCAGTGCTGGGATTAGTGGTGACGGGGATAGTGCACGCAATTGAGGGAGGGCGGGAGGTGCTCTTCATACTAGGTTAGACACATCATTTTATTTTATAACGCGGATACTTGCGAAGTAAATTTTTTTCTAAAAGCTTTTAACTAATTAAATGTTAACACATGTTCCCCTTATTACCATTATAGCCCATTAACAAGTCTCTTTCCGTTACAACCTTGAGCCACCTACAATGACTTTCTTCTTCAACGGTTGATATTTCTCGATCTATATAAACGGGCTATTGCCACTTCGACATGCTGCGGATACCATCATCTTAACGGATTTAATTATACAGAAAAACCTCGAGCATAGATCGCTTTATAGCCTGCCTGTCATTACTGACAACGCATACAGCAGACATCAAGTCATCAAGTCCAGCATGTCGATTATGGTCAAATCTTTTGAATTTAGCAGAATAGTGGATGGCAATGAACTTAATATAAAATAATTTAATAACATTTTATTGCTTTAAGCAGCAGTGATCAAATAATTAAGTAAGGAATAACAAAATTTTAGTTCGCCAACACGCATTGGGATAGCGTGGCGGACCTTTCCTTGCCCAGCAGTGGGACGTATATAGGCTGTAACTTTAACTGTTGCCTTGCTAAGAGGAAACGTACTCTAAAAATTACAAGAAAGTAAAGAAAGATAATATTAAAAACTCCAAAAAATAAAAATAACTCAATTAATATACCTATGTATTAGATAAGAATAATTTAGACGTCATGCTCTAACCCCTGAAGAAATTTACTATTATATTTTTAATAAATACACCATGTTTTCCTAGTAGCACTCATTCCTTTTGTACCAATTAAGCATAGAAGTACATCTTCTTACCTACGAGATTTTCGACGATATAAAGTTCATTTATAAAAACGTGTGCTTCTTTGCCACCCTAATTCTTACAATGATCGTTGGGTTTTGACATACAACAATACGGGCCACCGTTCCGTTGGTAGCCCGTGTTGTCCTATGGGTATTGATGATCGGCTTATAATTGTACATGCAATTTGACATTATGATGTTAGCATAAAATATGCTAAACATGAAATGTCAAAATTTGCGATCTAAAATTTAGCAAATGTGTTATGGCATCACTTAATCATTAGACATATCACATTAGTTACTTATAATAATAATTTACTTGTTTATTATTTCAGATAGTGCAAGCTTTTAAGATGGAGTATCATCATCAACCATTGGATTACCATATACATCCTATGTACACTCCGGATGGCCCTCTTAGACTAAAATTTATTGATAGATAAATTTATGTTTCTTGTATAAAAGTAAATAAGAAGTAACTGCTCGCTAAATCTTTGTAAGAAAGTTGATCTGTTACGTAATTTTTAAGAATTGTCTTGCCTATACACTTTAAAAAGGATTCTTAAAATACTTTTATATATTTAAAGAAAATTATATAAACGAAAAAGAGTCTTTTCTTTTCGGATTAGTTTTATATTGGTTCTGTGTAGTCAAATGCATGCAGACATGTTCAGATATTGTCTCATTATTCTTAATTTCTTTAAATTTATATTCCCATCAATCATCCCATATATGATTTGATAATTTCAAATATTTGTAAAAGGGTTATGTTGATTTAACTCTTTATTGTTTAAGCAATTAAGTGTACATTTGATTTACACTAATTATTTCGTACCTGAGTGTGTGAAAGTTACCAAACCTGATAAAACGTATATGTAATAAATAGGTAAAGATAATATATGATTATTAACTATTTTAAAAATGTTTCAAATTTCTTAATCGTAAGTTTTTTGGCCATGTTGGCGATATATTGAAATAGGGTCAAATTAAGAGTATCTTTAAATTACGAGCATGTATTCGTAGGTATTTGGACGTGAAAGAGGCAAGAAAAATATTTCAAATGCAAGTCCGTAGTCAGTACCTACCTTTATGGGTGATAGGGGTGAGTATTTTATGTATCATTAATCATCTAAATTGAAATCCGTAACAACTAATAATGGATGGATGGAAAAGCATTATAAAGTAAATGTACCTGGACTACCGAACGTTGCTCGACGCTAGAAAATAATATGATTTTTTCAGGGAAGAAACCTATATATCTAGAATTTTAATGGATGAAACCTTTATGGCTTAAAATTATAAGTTTATTCATTAAACTAGGAAGTAAAACAATATCTAAATTCGAATTTTCATCCTTAACATAAAGCCGTTTCCGAGAAACCAATTACATATTTACATATATTATCATAAACAAGAATTGCTCAGTTATAAGTTGATAAAACCTAATAAAAACTATTACGTTGTACATCTATTTGCAACATTAAGCAATATTTTGTTTCTAATTTAATAAGTTAGTTATTTAATACAAGATATTTTGATTTTCTGCCAGTATTTCTCAGTATTCCCACAATGTTTTTATACTAAAAAAAATTTGAAATAAATTTAGTATGTGGGCACTGTGTGAAAATAGAATATACATATTTATGATAAATAAAAAAATAAAGAACTAAAAGCATAATTTCAGAGTTTATGAATATTTTAGTATCTACTATGATAAAATGTATATAATATAAAAAGTGAAATTAGACAATCACAGATAAACATATTATTTTATGTCAGTTAGGAATTTAAATTTTTCAATTTGTATTTAACTTTTTTTTGAGATAGAAAAAACATACATTAAATGAAGTTTACAAACGAGTAACCTTGATCGAGTATGTATGTCTTTTATATCTGTCACTTGTAGACTGTATTAAAAAGAAATAAAAATATTGCTGTTTCTAACAAGTTTTTTTTATTTACATGTATTCTGGGATTAACGTCTTATACTATTGATGACGAAAAATCATCCAAAAATGCTAAACGTAGACTTAACATAGTTACTTGTAATCGGTAGTATCATTACCAGATTCTAGGGTATCATTCACCAAGCCGCTTGTCCAGCGGGGTAGATTTAGGTAAATATTCCAAGAAGTCCTTGCCACCTGGTACATTTTTGGAAGGGTTTCGGGCCAGGAATGTCAGAGAACGTGGGAAAAATTGAGTGAATAGAGGTGACGGTGGAGTTTGAAACCATAATTCGTTTAACTAGTAAAAAGTTCGATGCAGGCAACGTGTTGAGTGATTTCGTCAATGTCTGAATTACTTTTCGTTCGTTATCTTATTTGTCGTAATCATGTTCTTTGTGGTTATTCGGCTAGAACAAAGAAGATTATTCTGCGGTGAATCTGACTGGTGTACAGACGTGTGTGATTGTGACCGGCACGTATTAGCGTACAGTCAAATTGTACTTGCTTTACGCTAAATGTGTAGTGCGTTACGCTGTTATATTGCCTTTTATGATTAAAAGCGTAAGCAAGAGAAGAAGTTGAATATCCAATTTCACACAATTATTTTTAACAATAACTTTTTAACGTGTTTTTTTTTAATTTCAACTAGCTCGCAATACCCATTAAATTGAAACATAGCAATGTAAGAACTGCTATAATTAAATATTAATGCCACCTGCATTAATACGTAAGAAAATGTGTGGTACCTGCTTACATGAAAATGGTGATTAAAATAAATGTTAAATAAATAATCATCTGAAAATGTTATATAATCTCAGATTAGCCTAATTTAAAACATCAACACCGGTAACTTCATGCGCTTAAAGGACAATCTACTGATGTGATCATCTTATTGTCCTATGTAAGAGCTTTCCAATATACGAGTATTATTAAAAAAACTATTAGATTGATAATTTCTTAAATTAGATTTTTTTTACGTGGTAGAGCCATGCTGCAGCTATATTAATAGTATAGTTGTAGCACGAATGGGTCGGCTCGACCGGGGAAGGATCACGCTCTCACATAATACCAGCGTGAAACAGCAGCTTAATGCTGCTGTTTCGTATGGTGAGTGTACTGGCTTGCCTTCCTTACTTTTCTATCATATCCTTCCTTCCAACTATATGCAAAACAAAACTTATGACGCCATCTGTTATCCTACAACAAAAGCGTCTGCAAAAGGAGTCGACGCGATCGATACCGACATGTAATCAAGACTCAAGACGAACTGCATCGGTAATGGCTGTTCTTGTCTAAACCTTCCAAAATAAAATCAATGTAATTAAGCGTTAGTGAGTGTGCCGGGTCGACCCAGCTGTGTGCATAGACTATATAATCACGTAGGAGTGAGGTCAAAGAAGACTGAAGCCTTCCACATCCGAAGATATTGTTGAAACCAAGCTGAAGTTGATCGCCGCTGCTGCTAACCGTGAGTTTACCTATTTCCTTTACCCTTTCTTGTGGGCCAGACTAATTTTATCTCACTGTAGGTAAATGAAATAGCAATTCAAAATAAAATTATCTTTCTTTTTATTTCAAGTAGAAGTGTCGCGATTACTATAAAAATAGAGTTCAATTGAGTGTAGGGAACCGTAGACCCTTTTAGTGAAAAAGAGGCATTCTATCTTAGTCCTCACGGGTGACAACGCATCTGCATTTTTATTCGCTAACGAAGATAGATGTAGTTGTCTAAGGGCCACAGCAACCACTTAACATCAGGTGGACTGTGTGCTCGTTTGTCACCCTTATGCTATAAAAAAAATTACCATTTAATTAAAAAGCACAACAAATTGTTGAAGCACAAAGATGTTAAAATAAAATATTGGGAATATCTTCTTATATATTTATCTTAAGTTTAATAATAAAAGCTGATAAACGTTTTCTTTATTTCATTTTATCCTTCTGTGCCAACCCTACCAAAATAGGTAAAAATTTTAAAAGCTCCTTAGAAATTTTGCCTCTGTACGGTTTCTTTACTCATGTGCCACTTGTTACGTTTTAATTTAGTTAAAATAAAATCACAAATAAGAATAAAGAAAAGTAAGAATTTATTTATACACTCAGGGTCGGAGGTCCGTACTTTTATTGATTTTGATCTAATTGCCCTCACAACAATACTCTCCTTTTTTATAGAAGGGGAGGGGGGGGGGACGAGTATGCGGCTCACCTGATGGTAAGTGACTACCGCCGACCATGAAAAACCGCAACACCAGTGGAATATCAGATGCGTTGCCGGCCTTCTAGAAAGGTGTAAGCTCTTTTCTTGAAGGTCTCTAAGTCGTATCGGTCCGGCAAAATCGCCGGTGGTAAACAATTCCACAGAGAAGTTGTACATGGAAGAAAACTCCTAGTAAAACGCACAGTCGTAGACCGCCAAGCATCCAGATGGTGAGGAAGGTATCGTGAATTTTGACGCGATGTGCGTTCGTGAAATTTGGCGGCTGGAATTAATCAGAACTATTCCTCAGAGCACTCCTTGTGGTAAATTCGACAGAAAATGCAAAGGGATTCAACATCCGATTATAAAGAACTCTGTCGTCGTGGATTTGAACCGCTCTGTGCTGGATGCGGTCAAGTAGAAGGAGCTGGCACTGGGTTGCCCCGGCCCAGAGATGAGAACAGTATTCCATGTGAGGCCGGATTTGCGCTTTGTAAAGTTGCAAGCGATGTGCCGGCATGAAATACTGTCTTGCTCTGCTGAGCACGCCAAGCTTTTTAGAGGCTAATTTGGCCTTCCCTTCCAAGCGACCACGAAACTGCATATTATTCGATATGTCGACACCAAAGATTCCGATGCTAGCTGAGATAGCAAGAGGAGTGCCTTGAAACTCAGGAGATACGACAAAGGGGTTATTTTTAGCGGTAAACGCGCAAACTTGAGTCTTCTGCAGATTGAACTGGACTAGATTTAGTCGCCCCCAATCCGAGACTTTGTTCAGCAAAGACTTAACTTCAGACACAAGTTTGTACCGGTACTCGGCGACGTTTTCCCGAGAAATATTGGCACGCCCGGTATATAAGTCATCACCAGTGCTGTCGTCTGCATAGCAATGAATGTTACTAGTTTGCAACATATCATTGATATGCAGGACAAACAGCGCTGGTGATAGCACAGCCTTGTGGAACACCAGCGTTAATAGGCTTGAAATCAGAGCATGCACTGTCTACTACGACCTTGATGCTTCGAACAGCAAGCAAACTGGTGATCATTTTGCACAATTTCTCGGGAAGCCCATAGAAAGGATGCTTCGAAAGAAGCGCTTTGTGCCAGACCCGATCGAAGGCCTTCGCTCTGTCCGAACTAATGGCCAATGCCTCCCCCTTGAACTCTACTGCTTCCGCCCATCTATGATTCAGGTAGACCAAACAATCACCAGCTGATCGACCCCGACGAAAACCATACTGGCGGTCACTAATCAGCTGGTAATTCTCAAGGTACCTCATGAGCTGACAGT